TCTGAGGTCTCTGGCAAAAGGGAGCTATTGAAGAGAAGGACTTGACATTGGCACCTTATCCCCATGTCTGCCAGATCCAGGTTTCCCTGAATACACAACCACATCTTGATTTCAGGGCAACCAGAACGCCAAACAGAGGAGAAGCAAGAAAGAGAAGAGAGAAGGAAGAACTCATTCTAAGCTGATCCTCGCACTGCCCACGGGGTAGACACGGAAGCAGATACCAAGAGAACATGCTTACCTAAATCGTGGCTCTGGTCTTTGGTATCAAGCAGCTGCACGCTGACGAATTCCTGCTTTTGGTCCCCATAATAGGTCCCATCGGTCACCAGGTGAATGATGACCGCTGCAGCAACCATTGGCTGAGAAAAATACGCCTGAAATGGAGAAGACAAAGGAGAGTCACACGTGCACTCTGTCATGGTGAGGAGGCAGCCACATTGTGGTGGATTCAAGGAGAACCTTCCATTTTAGAAGCTGGGCTTCTCATCAGCAGCCCAAGATACCTGACAGTGCAGAGCACAGGCTCTGAGAGAAGAAACCTGTCCCAGGCTTGGCTCTGCTTCTACCTAGTTGTGTGACATTGAGTGATGGCTGGGCTGCTCTGGGCCTAAATTTCTTCACTTCCAAATGGTAAAGTAAAATATACGTGTGTGTGTGTGTGTGTGTGTGTGTGTGTGTGTGTGTATCACAGGATCACTCTGAGGCTCTAGTAAGATAATGGGAGCAAGTGTCTAGCATAGGGCCTGCCACACACTAATACCCTCCAAAATGGTAATTATTATTATGTGTCACTTCTCCATGCTAGCCTCTGCACTAGGCACCAAGGAGAGACAAAGTAAGACATGGCCCTTGCTTTTCTGGGAACCGTGGAATTCAAAGTAGGTCAGTGACACACAAACCAAAATTCAGTAAAATCCACAATCTTTAGTCAGGAAGATAGATCCATAGACAGCTATGTAATACCATGTGACAAGTGCCATCCAAAAGGTGACCGACATGAGAGGACAAGAAGGGAGAGAATAGTCACTTCTTTCTGCGGGGAACAGTAAAGACTTCAAGGAGGGGAAGATAATTCTAAAAGGCCTTGAACAACGAAGAGGAGGTTGTAGGCAGACAAACTCTTTGCCAGAACAAGGGTTGTGTGGGGGCATTCCATGAGCAATTAAGGAATTCCATTTCATGAAGCATCCCACTGCTAAGTGTTTTGTTCTCTGTCCTTACAATTAACACCCTCAGTGGGTGGACAAATGAAGGGTCAAATCACTGCTTCGTAGGGCCATTGCTGGAGATTCCAAGACTCTCAATGTTGGGCTTACCCGGAGCCAGAAAGTGGCGAAGGGTCAAGTCACCGCTCCCTAGGGCCATTGCTGGAGATTCCAAGACTCTCAATGTTGGGCTTACCCGGAGCCAGAAAGTGGTCTGAGTCATCTGGGAGTCAAGGTAGCTGATGATGCAAGGGTACCAGGCGTGCTGGGAAATGCCTTCACTGAGATCTATCACCTTGGTTCGACACACCTGAAAAAATATAAAGAAAAAAATAGTAATGTTTTAGAGAGTCTTAGAAGTTCAGGTAAATTGAATTTGACAAGCCTTTACTCAACACCTATTTTGTTTGTGGCACCGCAGGAGGAAATGGGGATAAAGAGACAAGAATTTGTTCTAGGAACTCACACTTTAACATAGAAGAGATCATCCTCAACGCTGTTAAGAAAATAATAAGATAACATATTTCAGTGGTAGAGGTGACAGAGACATTCTCATGAGGACAAATCCTGAAGGAGTTGACATTTGAATTGGGCCTGGAAGCGTAGGATGAAGTAAGAGGTCACTGCAGGCAAAGGGAATGGAAGCAAAGCCTCAGAAGAAAGCAGAATGCTTAGGTTAGGATGGACTGCCTGGTACTGCTAGAGATTGGGGAAAGTGGCAGAAAAAGCAGGTTGAGGGATGGGATCTCAGGGAGTCTTGAACATCATGTGGACCATTTGAGGAAAAATCTGTAAATTGCACTCAGAGCTGTACTAAGAACAGAGAAAAGAAAAAGAATGAGCATTTGCTTCCCTGTCACCAAAGAAAATCAATTCCATCACTTTACACACACACACAGACACACACACACACACACACGCACACACTTATTCTCAATGACAGATAGTGCCAGATAGTGCTAAAAGAAACAAGAAACACTTATAGACAAGTAGAATTCTTAAAACTTAGGAGTTTCTTGTGTATCCAAATGCCATTTCATTTATTGGTTCATCTGTTTATTTAAATGCTATTTATTGACTAATTACTATTTGCCAGGAATTCTGGAACAGAATGGTAGACAAGAAAGATGCTGAGGAGCTTAGAATAGGCAATAGGTGCAGATATTAATCAAGTAATCACATAGGCATACATGGCCATAAACTGAGAAAAGTACTCTGAGGGAAGAGGATAGGAATAGCTGAGTTGGTTGTGAGACTGGTCAGACCTTTGGTAGAATGTCATCCCAAATTAGCAGGTCCCCTTTGATCTCTAATGTGGCTCCTCTCTGAAAACTTTCCTATGAATTTGAGCTGTCATTTCACATCTCCAGGTTATAGTCTACTCATCTGAAAATTAAGGCTGACCTAGAGAACTCTTATAAGCTGTGGGGAAAAAAAAAGATGAAATAATCTGTTCTCAGACTAAACAAACACCAAACACATAAAGGAAACAAAAACAAAAAAAGAAAAAAAAATCATATATATATATATATATATATATACAAAGATCAATAATGTCCATTGTTGCAATAGGTACAGTAGCAAAAGATTGGGAATAGTGTATATGTACATCTGTTGGAGGAGGGATGCATAAAATATGAAATATTCACAAGACAGAATCCTACTTCATAAAAGAGCATTATAAAAATATTTAACACATGTTCAGTATAGGCCCTTGCTGATCACAATCATAGAAGACCTGCTGGTGAGTACATAGATATCCACATGGAAAGATCACAAATACATATGTTAGAGAGACAAAAAAAAAACAGGCATAAGTGGAAATGTAAATTATGATGCCATTTATAAAGATCACACAAAGCAGAACTACATATTGTCTAGGAGTTCATAGAGATGAATGTGGAAGAATTTAAAATGGAGTACAAAGTATCCATCAAATTCAGGGCGTAGTTGACTCTGAGAGTCAAGAAAGGGGATTGGTACTGGGAGTCAGGAATGAATGGAATCTCAACCTTTTCTGCAGAGTGTTATTTCTCTTACAGAAGGAGTCTTGAAGTGAATATGACAAAATTTGCATATTTGCCAATTCCAGGTAGTGCATAAACCTGGTATACACAAGAGTTTTGGTTTACATTATTATATGTAATTTTATGAACTAAAAAAAAAAATTCAAAATATTGGCTTAGAAAGCCATCAAAATTGATGTAAAATCACCAGCATCAAGTTTTGGTTTACATTATTATATGTAATTTTATGAACTAAAAAAAAATTCAAAATATTGGCTTAGAAAGCCATCAAAATTGATGTAAAATCACCAGCATCAATTCCCCTACCAATATGTTCCTACACAGTGGGCTCCAATGAACTGGATTAGATCTCAGTCTTCGATAAGAGCCAACTCTTCTTGTTTATGGCATTACCAAGAGCTCCTGTTAACATGCTGAGGTCTCATCTATAAATGTGCTAAAACTCAAATAAATGCCCCTTTCTCCATCACTTCTTAGAATGATTTTGGCTTCTAGGAGCTCTTGAAAAACTCAAGGTTTCTATTCTCTTTACAACAGTGAGACACTAATCTAACTTGTGCTAAAACTCAAATAAATGCCCCTTTCTCCATCACTTCTTAGAATGATTTTGGCTTTTAGGAGCTCTTGAAAAACTCAAGGTTTCTATTCTCTTTACAACAGTGAGACACTAATCTAACTTGACTAAAGTCAAGTTAGAACATATAGATGCATTGTAGTCTGTAATGGCAGGAATTGATGCTTTTATTATTTAAGTAAACTTTTCTTTCTGGAGTAATTGTATATTTACAGTAAAGTTGCAAAGATGATGCAGAAAGCTCCGTATACACTTACAATGGCAGGAATTGATGCTTTTATTATTTAAGTAAACTTTTCTTTTTGGAGTAATTGTATATTTACAGTAAAGTTGCAAAGATGATGCAGAAAGCTCCGTATACACTTCACACAGTATCCCTTCATGTTAACATCTTCATCAATTCATTCTTGAAACTTCAAATAGAGGAAGATGAATTGCTCAACAGACTTAGGAGGTTCACAGAATGTCACCCAGGAACTTCTGCATTGGCGAGCTAACTATGGATTAGGGAGACCTGGTTCTAGTCCATGTTCACCCAAAATTTGATGTGTAATTGTGTATAAGCTCCTTCACTCTTTAAACTTCAGTTATCTTGCACATTTGAATTTTGGATTAGGTCATAGGTTTTCAGGGTGTCTTCCATAGATTCTGAGGGATCCATGGAGATGTCAGCCTGCAGGTCAGACTGTGGAGAAGGTCTGCCTAGCTCCCAGTCTATTGCTTCAACAAGAGCACCTCCATTCATCTGTTTTATATATCCAGCTGCCTCGTAACTTTCATCTGAGACAAGAGCTTCACTGCTTTAAAAACAGAAAAATTTTGAACTGCCTTAATTGCCAAAGTTCCCCTCACTCTGGCCCTAGGGTCCTTGGAATACAGTATTAGGTGCCAGAATATCACAGGTAACTTCTTAAGGAGAATAAAGCTGCCAAGAATCAACTATCTTATTGTCTAGGAATTAGGTGATGGCGTCAGTTATTTAAATCTCTAGAAGCTAATACCGAGGAGATTAAGTAAAACATAGCCACTTTAATGGGCTGAAAGATGTTTTTAAGTTTATTTATTTTTCTCAAAAACAACTGGGACTGGTCTTAGGCAGATTGTGTTACACTTTACAACAGTGTGAGACTTTGCATAAACTATCTATGGCATTTGAAATCCGGGCCAGCAATTCGACATGTATCGTTTTGGAATTCTTTCCCCTGTGTTCTTACTGCCTGTCCCCCCTGCAGAGCGTGGCGGAGCACATCTCTGAGTGCCAGGCTGGGGGGCTTATCTCTGCATCTAAAACATTCGGGTCAGAGAAGTCTCCAACACGAACAAAGCCCTCTTATTGCTTAAATACGATTTCCTCTTATCTTGTCAGCTCTCTCCCACTAAACAGGGTTTTAGAGGAACATGCTGCTATTATTTTATTCTTCTGTTTTCTTATTTAGTTTTGTGATTGTTTCAGGCTGGCTGCGATCCTGGCCAGGGACAGTCAAAGCAGATCAGAGAGGAACGAACAAATCCAGCTGAACATTTGCCCAGAGCCCTAGTTGATCTTACAATCATCTATGCTCCTGGGGAGGTGGAGGGAGGCTGGAGGAGAAGGGAGAAGCACACCCCGCCAAGCCTCCCACTTTTATAGACACTGCATGAATTTGCTCACCCAGCAGCAGTGCACGGAGGGCATATGGCATGCCAGGCTCTAGAACAACCAGGAAAGAAGAGCCTTTCCCAAGCCATGAGGTTGGTCACTAAAGATAAGGATGTGACCCCCAAGGTGACTGAGTCTACGGGGATGCTTTGTTTTCATCTACCCACTGTTTTGCACCTTTCAAAAAAGCAAATCCAACTCCACAAAGCATTACTTAGCAATGTAGATGTTACTGGGCATTTGTGGGGGGCATGCAGGAGAGTTACATCACATACCCAGTGGACTCACACTCTCCCCACCACCACCCCCCTGAGTTCCTCTTCTCTCATCATCTCCCCTTCTTTGGTTTCCTCAGTGTCACTGGCTCCAGTGACCTTCCCATCTCCCCTTTGAGAGCTGGGTTCGGCCACTTTCACCAGCTTCATTTCCGGCCGCTGTCCCTGCACACCCAGCAGGCAGGACACCTTTTTCTTCCACATGTTGTGGACAGACCCACCATGCTTGTGCCTAGACACCCCTGCCCCTGCACTGCCCATTTGTGAAATACTACACATACTTCAAAGCCAGTCTCAGGCATCAGCCCTCCTCTGAAAGCCTTTGCTCACCCCCCAGGAAGAATTAATTGCTCCCCTCATGTGCCGTAGAGCTGCTTCTATATACCTCATTTACAGCACTTGTCAAGTTAGATTATAATTGTTTAGAGCCTGGTCTTATCTCTCTAAACTCTGAAGGTTTCTAAGGTGAGAATTACGTTTTATTTATCCTGAAATAAATCCCAGCAGGTTTCCCAGCACACAGGAAATAATAGGTGCCCGGTGAACAACCACAGCAGCAGCAACCTATGTCTAGTGCCTACTTTATGCTGGGCACTGCTCTAAGAACTCTATGCGGTAAATCATGCAATGCTCACAACTACTCTGTGAGGTAAGTACTATCATTATATCCATTTTATAGGTAAGGAAATTGAGGCCCAGTAATTTGCCTAGGGTCCTACAACTAGTTTGTGGTAGAAATAGGATTCAAATCCAGGTACAAACTCAGCCCATACACTTTAACTGTAGATATTAACT